TCCACTGCAGCGGAGGTTGTGTTGGGGCACAATGATTGCTTGCTTAGATGAACAACAGAGATAATGGTAGCAAATCAAATGAACACCGTAGGAATAGCAAGCTCACTTGCACGTTCAAAGGATCATACCGTAAAGTTATTTAAAACTAAATCTAGACTCACAGACAGCATTTATATCACCTGCAGCTAAATACCAGACCCACGAGTTGACCTTTTCTGCGAATCTCTCACTTCACTAGAAGTGGCAGGGGCGTCTTTATCAGGACTAGGCTATCTCTTTCATGCACAAGAACAGAGATTGTGTTCCCAAGCCAGTTTTAATGTTTAGAAGCATTTTGCTTGTTGTGTTTGTATTATTTTTCCACATTTGTAAGTTGCTTAAAAGGCTGTCAAATCAACAAGATATTAGGTTAACATAATACAAGGGGAAAACATATATCTTATCCCCTAATTGGGAACTACAGTTTATCACCATTTTTAATCAGGTTTCATCTTCACTCTCATTTTAAAGAGATAGTTTACCCAAAAATGACATTGTCATCATTTACTTAACCTCAGGCCACTCCAAATCTGTATGACATTCTTTCTTCTGAGGAACATTAAAGATATCTTGAAAAACATCTCCATGTTTTTATCCATGCAATGGAAGTCAGTGGTCTGCCAAACTGTTCTTCATAATATCTCCTTTTGTGTTCCGCAAAATGAACTACATAAGGGAGAGAAATCCTAAATACTGCATGTTCAAAAGTTTTAATAAAATAAATGTTATTTAAAATAACTTAGATGGAGTTTTGGATGTCACACCACAGGGATATTTTACCACCCAGCTACATGTAGGCCTAAACAGATTTTTTTAAAAAACTTGTCCACACTGAAAGCATGCCAACTGATGCACTCAAATGTCTTGCATACATTTTTTTTTTTACATGCTTGTATACGGTTTTACAGCAACTTAAGTTATAGATAAACCAAAAAGAAAAAGCACCCGAAATGCTCCTTCTGTGCCAAAGCCAACAAAGAAAAATAGATATCTTGAACACTCGAGCTAATGGTTCACACAGATCACATCTCGGCAACGACAGCTTTATATACACTTCTTCTAGCAGCGTTAACAGTCAGCTACTGCTGTGAAGAAATACTGAAACATGAACTTGGATAACCTGGTATAAGAGAGCTCTTTAATCTGGGAACATCTCTTCCTGAGAACACAAATCGCAACTATCCAGAACTGAACCATCAGGCATTTCAAGTGAAATGAACATAACAGCTTATATGCAAATAATACGTGCATGATCATTAGTAAAGGTTTACAGACTTCAGCGCACGGGGACAGATACCATACCAGACAAAGAGACCACACACGCACAACCCGCGCTTGATCACAACTTGTTGCTTTTATTGTGCTACTGAGTTAAAAACAGAATGAACATTCCACTTTAGCAAAACAATATTCATGTACGTCCAAAATTAAAGGTTTTCTTTTACTTTATCCATCGTTATGCGATGGATGGATGCGGATAGGCGTCCAGCTCTGTCCCATTCCATACACAAAGCGAGTTGACTTTCTAACACCGAACAAAGACACGTTTATTACCTGAGAGCTCCTTAATTATGAATGTTAATATGAACACACAAGCTTAATATAACGGGTGCTGTGTGAAAGAAATACCTCCAGCCCGTTAGCAGCGCGCTAACGCTAACACAGCCCCTCAACGCTTTTGTTCTGAAAACGCCGGTAGCAGACGACCACTTATCTTGACAAACGAACTTTCCACATTGCGTAGAAACAACATACACAGCATAATATGTCGGGTATTGACAAATATGTGCAATGTATGAAATATATGAGACGTTATTGACTATAACTGCCCCAAAACTATAAGAATATTCGCTCAGCGCGCGCTCTCCACCGTCAAAAATACGAGTCGCGCGGATTACAAGAGCATAGCAGCTACCTGATTTCACAAAGCTGTTAAACACATAGTTTTGTCTTAGCAGACGACTTTCTTGTCATTTTCATACAGCTTTTTCATACTCACAGATTTGTCAGACTCGCTCCATGTGATTCAGTGTGTATCCGTGTGTGTATGGGTGCGTGAGCGCACGCAAGCGCGGAGATTCCCCTGCTGCAACCATGGAGACGCAGCGTCACCCAGAGCAACCGAGAGGGAAGAAAATGTTGTGTAAAAATGACATTAGAATAATTTCAGTATGTGCTAATACAAACACGATTAATTCAAAACAATAAAAGAAACATTGTTCTGAGTTAAACTGATCATGTGAAGAGAAGAGAGTTAATAGAGTTAGAAATTCATATTTCATATTTTCGTTTGGTTACAATTATTATATGGATTGAAATGTGTTAAAATATACTAATGAAGCATATTCACATTTACCACACACTGGCTCTAATCTAATTCCGAACTAATCACTAAATAATTAAATACTGCTGATATAGCGCCATCTAGCGTAGCCTACAACATCATGGAAATGTGTCAGTAGGTAATGAAATGTGGGATTTATCTAATTTATTGAACAAGTTTATTGTAAAATGTAACTCACTGTAACCATGTCATCGACATATATTTCTGTATATAATGAGATTATATATATTTAAAAAAAAAAAAAAAAAAAGCTACTCTGGTATCCAGCATAATAATATACAAAGGTATTTATTTCACAAAAGTACTTTCTTATTGTGGTATTCATCATTATTACATAGGCTATCTGTAATGAGGTGATTAGATGTATTTTTACATCGCCCCTTATAGGTTAAGTACTCTGTGTGGTTTAGAATTTATGCAGGTCATTGCCTAATAAAAGATGAGGATCACATATGTCAAGCAACAGATGGATAGTCCACATCAGTTGGCTACTAAATAGTAGGCTATACTAGCTACTATTGTTTGAGTTAAACTATATAAGTAGGCTAAACATGTTTTGAATAAAACTCAAAAAGCATTTTATTTACACTGCACTCTCCAATATCCTGAATGCAATTAATGAGAGTTCAGACATGACAACTCTCGGACTGTCTGACATTGTAATGGATTTGACAATGTTGATATGTTTGGTCTTGGGGGAATAATCTGCTATGCTTCTGTAGGTTATTGCTGCTGCTTCAGAGTAAGCACGGGACTTGCTACTGCCAATACATACATAGCACATTGCTGTTAGCAATTGCTTCTGCTGTACAATATAACATGAAATCACCTGTAGAAGATCTATACAGGTGGAGCTTGGGAAGGTGGAGGGTTTCTGAAAGTGTGCTGCAACTGCTATAGCAAATGCTGACCAAGCATTTGAAGGTTTAGCAGCGAGCTCAGTGGATACATTACTGATATACAGCAGGAGGAACCAATCATCTGTGTCCTATAGAGAACGATAAGATTGTAAGCAGATCGAGTTAAGGACCTATCAGCCAGTGCCATCTAGATTTTAATGACAGAACTTTGTATTTGAGAGAGCATCGGCAAGCAATTACATATCAGTATAAAACAACTGTTCGTTAAATGCAGGTTGTAATTGTTGATTTAGTGATTGTTGAAGAAAATATATGCAGGAGACCCAGAATCATTCTGCATCATGCGATATGGATGATGATGACAGCGAACAGATCAAGTTTTGTTTTAAAAAATTATTGTTTATTTGTTTGAAAGTTTCGTTTTTTCATAAATAACTTTTTTTTAAGTGCATTTTCAAATCATTTTGTTTTTGTGAAATTCCAAATAAAATATTTCAACAAATGTTTTTGATACAATTTTTGTTCTGTATTTTCAATACATTTTCGATGTAAAATCAGCTGTGCCAGTGTAACAATCACAAGCTATACAGACAATCACAGTCTCATGGCAGATGGGCTGACACTGTCCCTTCACTGATGAGGATATGGCTCCTCTTGACCCTTTACTAATATACATGCATTGCCTTTCTCTTGCAGCACTAAGATCACTCCAGCAAATGTCATATTAGGCTGCATCACATTCTTTAAATGACTGGCATATAACAGTTAACAAAAATACTAAGTTAAATCATCCTGCCTTTATCTTAACACAGTTTATTAAAATGTTCTTGAAAGAAGTATTTTATTCTCAACAAGGCTGCATTTATTTCATCAAAAAAGAGAGAATAGACTGAAAACTGTAACTTTGTTGAATATTATTGAGTTTTCAGCATCATTACTCCAGTCTTCAGTGTCACATGATCATTCAGAAATCATTCTAATATGCTGATTTAGTGCTCAAGAAACATTTCTTGATATCAATGTTGAAAGCAGTTGTGCTGCATATAGATTTGCTGAATCATTAACAGTAGCCATCAGTTCTGTAAAAGTGGCACAATGAGGACTGAAGAAACAGCTTTCTTTGTCACTGATCCAAGACCATTTCAGTGCTGCTTGCAGGCCACTGTCGTGTGCTTGACAGGGACACTCGTATAGGGGCTCTCAGAAGCAATGACGTCTGGACCACATAAATGCCATCTGCCCCCAACTGCCTCACGCCTGCACAAACATGTTGCACGTTGTCATTATGCTAAGTGAGCTTAGCGCTGTTACTGTGATGATGGACACTGTAAACAGAGTACTTTAGATCATGAGATCAAGGTTCCTTAAGTGCTAGACAGTGCATGCCTGATGTGAGCTCTGCCTCTGACTGTCTTTCTTTTCTTTGCAATCATAGCATTTTAAATAGATTGTCTTAGCTTTTTGGACAGAATTTTCATTTTTGGGTGAACTATCTATTAAGTGTTTTGTGCAGTTCAAGTTCAAAACAGTTTAAAGGGATAGTTAACCCCCTCCCCTCCCAGTGCATGTGTCTCATTCAAATGTTTATGTACCTTAATTGGGAACACCAAAGAGGTGGGACGTGTTCAGTGATACCAGTGTCCAGCTTAACTTACTGATCCAATTTGTGGAGCTTTCCATAAGAATTATAGGCTCCTTCTGGCCACTATGCAAGGCATGCTGGGAGTGGGATGTTTACGCCACACTGTAAACAAGGATATATAAAACCCAGAGCTCAGAGCATTCTGTGCAACTCAGAGCTTGAGGCAGCAACAAAACAGGATCTACTCTATTCAAATACACCTTCCACAACTGTAACCATGGTACTGGAGGACTCTAAGGACAGCGTCTTTGAAATTGACATCACTGTGCGTTCTGATATGATTTTACTGATCTTCTGCTATTGTTGTATAGTGGATACAAAGGATGTTGAATGTTTTATTTGAGCTTAAAGTGTTTCTTTTAAGGGGGTTTTGATGGTGATATTTGTTGTCTGTTGATGGCATTTGTGTTGTTTACTGTCCAGCAGCTTTGCTATATCCGGTCACGGTGCTTTGATCTTTTTGTGAGAAATTTACAGGCTATTTAAGACTATAGGGTGGATTTTTGGTGTGCAACATAAAACATTTTTTTTCTGATTAACTGGAGGAAATGTTGCAATAAATACGTTCATCTTAATTCAAATCAGTCAAAACTTGAAATGAATTTTTTTTAACCATATATTCTGGCATGACTGCAGCGATTGAGAATAAATGAGATTAATGAGTATCAGAATTTTCTCTCCATAAAATAAAAACTCTAAAACATTGCAAAATAAGTTTATTCTCCAACTAAAGCTTTGTTTTTCATCTGATCTGATCAGTTTTTGATATGAATGCAGGTGAGATGTCACAAACCTGACCATAACTTTGCTCTTGTAGGAGGAAGATGTGGAGACTTTGTTTGGAAAGGTGCACTGCACCATGAAGGGTGTCCCGAGGGCCAACCGGCCTACCATCCTGACATTCCATGACATTGGACTGAACCGTAAGAATCTCCTCTAAACCTTCTCACTCCCTTATGCAGGAGCTGTGTCTGTACGACTTTTCTGCAAGAGAAATGTGCTCAGTGTGTGTGTGTGTGTTTTTAAAGCAACAGTATCAATGCTAGTTCCAGTGCTCTTAAAACTACCCTGTATATAACATCTCATCTGTATTCTGTCTTAATGGACTGAAAAAAATTTGTATGAATATCAAAGGCTTAGTACCATGGTTGTGTTCTTTGTTGTGCAGATAAGAGCTGTTTTGAGTCACTCTTTAATCAAAAAGACATGCAAGAGATCATGCAACACTTTGCTGTGTGCCATGTTGACGCCCCGGGACAGCAGGAGGGTGCCAGCACACTCTCCACAGAGTAAGTAAGAGTTCATTATACCACCTGATTATGGTTTCAGGTCTATCAGAGCATCCGAAGGGATATAATTAACCAAACCCTTAAGATTTCTGTCTCAGCAACATTCAAAATGAATGGTTGCTCTCTCTCATTGTCAAACAAAGACAAAAAAACAGCTTTGGTTTAACTTCCCCAGCTTCTAAGACAGGAAATCCATTTCAAATCTGCTCATTTGGAGCGGGTCTGTTTTAGGAAATATAATGCAGACCGCGTTAATCTGCAACCTATGGCACCAGACTGGCAGAATGTAGGTCAGCATGTCACTTATAGGGTCTAAGGGGAGTAAAGAACATGTATGATCTGCCATCTGCACAGCAACGTAACTGACATCCATTGCCCATAATCCAACCATCCAAAACAGCATCCAGACAGATTATGACCTCGCTAATGCCTGGAAGCCCATCAACAAGTCCTAAATATCCTGTTGTGCTGTTTACCGTCATAGTATTTGACCTCCATATTGTTCCACATGTGTAAGGCTAACAAATAAACCACTGTCTGGGGTTGTAGGTATACCTACCCTTCGATGGATCAGCTCTCAGAGGCCGTCCCTATGGTCCTTGAGCACTTTGGGTAAGTCTTCAATGCTCAATAATGGTATAAAAACCCATCTTAGATGTTTAACTCTTATTGTTGAGGCTCTTATGAACACTCTTGATCCAGACCAGCTTGAATGCTTGCTCTTTTCCCCTTATAGTCTGAAGAGTGTGATTGGAATGGCGGTCGGTGCTGGAGCCAACATCCTTGCCCGCTTTGCAGTGAGTTTTATACACTTTTCCTCTCAGTTGCATTTTGAATGCCCTTGAATATCACGGATTACAGTTCTGCAACTCTTGCTACAAAGCGATGTTGATACTTGCAGGGTAATCCTGCTCATTATTATCACATGCTTGCTTGTTGTGCCAACCATATTCCAGAGGTGAATATTTTTAATTTTTCATAATTATTGTTTTTTTGCATGTATCTCTTAAAGCTAAAACACCCAGACATGGTTGAAGGTCTTGTTCTGATTAATATGAGCGCTCAGGCAGAGGGCTTTATGGACTGGGCAGCACAAAAGGTACAAAAGCTGGTTTCTTACTGCTAGATTTGCATTCTTATGAGATTGGAAATGATTGGATTATTAAACTAATTTGAAGGAGCTTATATATTTGTTACAATGCACAAATCCTCACTAAAGTGTGACATTTTCAACAGATTACAAGCTGGACTCACGCTCTCCCTGATACTGTAATATCACACCTGTTTGGAAAGGTGAGAACTGTTGAATATATATTATAAAAAAATACTAATTTGACTATATAATAAAAAAGATTAATTTATTATGAATATAAATACATGCAAATTAATTCTCAATGTATTGATTGTTTTGATGTAGGAGGAGATACATAATCATGAACTGATCTCAACCTTCCGTCATCTCATTACAAACAATGTAAACCAGTCCAACCTGCAGCAGTTTGTCAAGTCCTACAAAAGGTATCACTAATGAAATTTGTGTCTGCACTGCAGTCACTCAGTTCCTGGGTTCGACTGTTTTAATAAACTTTACAGCATCTATTTATTGCAATACAGCAGAGAAAAAAGTTGAAATTCACCAATAATTTACTGAAAGCCTCTAAAAATATTATTTCCATCTTTTCTCAGCCGACGGGATCTGGAGATCGAGCGACCGGTACAAGGAGGAAACGTTAATGTACAAACACTCCAGTAAGTCCCACCTGCCGACAGTAAACTGATTTTGAGTAGTGCATTTAGACCTCACAATTGTGTTTTGTCTAAATGGTTTGTCTTTATTACAGGTGTCCAGTTTTGCTGATAGTGGGTGATAATTCTCCAGCTGTGGATGCTGTGGTGAGAAAAGTTATTTCTTTAAAGTCGATTGGTTGCAACAATTTCCCAATTTATTATTGGTGGTTATTATAGTATTCCCCATACTGGAGATAAATTGGAGACAAATCATCATATAATGGTTATCTTATTTGACCTCACAGGTTGACAGCAACTCCAGAATGAATCCAACAACAACCACCTTTCTCAAGGTCAGTGACCTTGCCATTTCTATTGCAATCACTCAAACCCGAAAATATCTTTGATAAATAACTATATGGATACAATAATGACTTAGCCTATATGGTACAGATATTTTGCACATCCTTAGTTTTTAGTGGTCGAAGTGTCATTTTTAATATTTAACTTTTTTCTAGATGGCTGACTGTGGCGGCCTGCCTCAGATTGATCAGGTAGTCTATATCATGAATATAAATACACACAAATACATAGGCCTATATATATATATATATATCATTTGCATATAGAGATTTTAGATATGGACACACATTCAAATCTGCATTCTTGATATCTGACAGTGGTTATAAGCAAATTTACACTACTTGTTTATGTTCTCTTGCAGCCTGAAAAACTAATAGAAGCTTTCAAATATTTTATCCAGGGAATGGGCTACAGTAAGCACACGTTATTTTAACAACAACACTGAACTATTATTAAAAAATATATATAGGCTATACGTATGAATAAATAATATTCATATGACATTTTATATGTAAGAAAATCGCGGTCTCACTGTCTTTTATCACTTTCTCACCCACAGTGCCCTCTGTCAGTATGACCCGTCTGGCTCGATCTCGTACGGCCAGCAACTCATCCCTCAACCGCAACCGCAGCGGTACAAACACGACGGATGAGCAGCGTGGACGTTCCCACACTGACGTCTCCATGGAGAGCGCCACAAACATGGAGCACAGTTCCTCAGGTCCCACACTTTCCGTCGAACTGATCTGCTGAACGCCTCTGCAGGCGGTTTAAAATTGGACCTAAAATGACAGAATTTGAACCTGAAAGCTGATGCTCCTGTGATTTGATAATGTTTAATGTATCATAGTGTTTATCACAAGGGATAGGCCTATTAGAATAGAGATAGCCCTCACTGCAAACAAATATTGCATGTAGGCCTACTTAACAGACCAGGCACATCTAAACCATTTGTAAACTACCATTTTATTACTTGTAATGTACAATTTGTAATATTTTATAATGATATAATATAAATAAGGTTATATGTGATGTGTACAGTAGGCTACAGCTGTACACAAAGTGTGTGCGTGTTTGTGTTGGAGGGTTTTCTGGTAAGGCTGAATGTTTGGGGGATTTTTTTAATACTTTATAATTTCTTATTACATATAAATTCTATACTTGTAATTGATAACAGTAATGTCAAATACTTGACAGTATTGGTTAGTATAGAGAGAATGACCACAGGTAGTCTACAAAATATTTGATATAATTTCCGAATCATTTCAGGTGGTAGGTGGCTACTGTAAAATCTTTCAACGTTGGTAAAATAACTTTGTATTTAACAAATAAAATTAAAATATAACAGTAAATTTTGTCAGTCTCACTGCTATATAACATCTAAACCTAAAAGTATAATTACATCCAATATATTTATGTGTCATGAATTTTAAACAGCACCATTACAGAAATGATGTAAATTACTCTATTGAGTGACAATAGAAATACAAGCAAATGCATAAAGAAAAGCATGTCTTTTTTATTAAAAAAAGAGATACATTTCTGGAATATTTCCAGAATTAAATATGAACAGCAACAACGTGGCAAAATAAATGTCTGAATAACAAAAAGATCACTGTCACTTCTCTTGTATATTTCAGAATATGACACAAAGTGTCTTTTAATACCATTTTAACTCAAATATATATTTTCAAAAACTGATTGCTATGTGTATTCCTTTAAGGAGAATTCCTTTTATCGTTGAAGGCAATATTTTTTTAAAATACATTTTCCGTAAAATACAAAAAGTGATTTTCTTTCTAACTTTGCACAGATTTGTAGCGGGAAGTCAACAGAACATCTTAAATTTCAAATGTTTTGTCCCTCATAAATCCATTAGAAATCTTGTACATAATGTCCCTCATTCTGAACTAACCTTCCCCTCACAATCCATCTCAATATGAGTAACTGTGCTAATTTTCATTCATAAACCATCCGATATGATTTCTCATCAACAGTGAACCTTTCAAAAAGCATCCCTGTTTCTGTGTCCCACTGTGAGCATGGACGCTTTTCATAGACTACAAATGTGAGTGCAAGGATGCCATAAAAAAGATTGCATCTGGCTCTCGGTTAATTAGTTAACAATCTCATTGAACTCATAGTATTGCTCCAGATCTGCGAAGATATCGTTTGGATTCCTGCAGGAGAGGTTGCAAAAACACGCGTTGATCCACATGTATTTCCAAGTAAGAACTGATCCATTTGGACACTCAAACTCCACCTCAATGGTCTTAGACTTGTAGGGGATGCAGCAGCGCTCATCAGTACAGATTCCACAGTACTTGGGCCAATACGCCTTCTTACTGATGCAGCCTGAGATGGTGAAGTACTGAAACTCTGGCTCACGGTAAATGTTCAGGCACTTTTTACCCGGCTGAGTCACAGATATGACAGACAGAAAGACAAACAATCAATCAGTTAATCAATCAATCAATCAATCAATATCGATCTAAAAATCATTTAGATCAGGGATGGGCAACTTAGATTATTCATATTCTATCATTAAAATAAGTGAGGAAAAGTAGAGATGGGTCAGCAAATTAAATATAATAGAAATTAATTCTTACTCTAAAGTGCTTGGTGATGTCGACCTCACAAGGTCGGAGGTTACACAGTCGGGTCTCTTTCTCCATCACACAGCCAGCATTGTCGTTAGAAATGCGCAATGATGTGCCCCGGCCACAGGTCTTTGAGCAGGGACTCCATGGGGTAGTCTGGGTAACGCAATTTTTATGCCAAATATCATTAGTGGTGAGGGACTCTGAAAAAGACATAAAGAAAAGGTGTGAGATTCGTCAATGATGATGAACTAAAAATGTTAATAGTATTCTTATGGACATTTATCATCACCACACAAAACAAAATAACGGACTGCTCACCCTCCTCAGGGGCGTGTCTGGGGTTGGTCTTGCGTGGTTTACGGGACTCTTCGCAGATCCATTTCTCACAACATTGGCCTGTGATCTTCACTCGCTTGGCCGACTGACACCAGACCCGGGGTGGCAGGGACTCGGTGCAGAGAGACACACATCCAATTGCCCCATTCACACACAGACAGCGGTACTTACAATTGGGCTGGAAACTTTGGCCATTACGGTAAATCACACCGTTATATTCGCAGCCTGTTCCCATAACATCTGAAACATAGAATTGACTGGATCATTTATTTCCTTAAAGGAATTATAGTTCACTTTCAAATGAAAATTAACCCATGATTTACTCACCCTCAAGCCATCCTAGGTGTATATGACTTTCTTCTTTCAGACAAATACAATCAGAGTTATATAAACAAAATATTTTGGCTCTTCCCAGTTTTATAATGGCAGTGGATTGCAACCAACAGATTGAAGCTCAAAAACGTGCATCCATCCATTATAAACGAACTTCACACGGCTCTGGGGGGTTAATAAAGGCCTTCTGAAGCAAAACGATGTGTTTGTGTAAAAAAATATGAAACTTAAACTTTATAAAGTAAAATAACTAGCTTCCGGCCAAGATTCCACTTAAGTGTAAAGCGCAACCTATGCGAGTAATGCAACGTACTGCTGATATTTACACTACGCCATGAGACGCACTACGCTACTTCCGCCGTCACATGTTTCGTAAGTTGCGCATTAGGGGCAAGTCGACTGCGTATGGCCGTTTGGCCGGAAGCTAGAATTTTACTTTGTAACGTGTTAAATATGAATATTTTCTTACACAAACGCATCGCTTCGCTTCAGGCCTTTATTAACCCCGCGGAGCCGTGTGAAGTTCGTTTATGATGGATGGATGGACGTTTTTGAGCGTCAATCTGTTGGTGCAATTCACTACCATTATAAAGCTTGGAAGAGCCAGGATATTTTTTTAATATAACTCCGATTGTATTCGTCTGAAAGAAGAAAGTCATATACACCGAGGATGGCTTGAGGGTGAGTAAATCATGGGGTAATTTTCATTTTAAAGTGAACTAATCCTTTATGTCAAGGACAAGAAACAATACTGGACAGCCTAAAAGGTTTTGTACCAGAGTACCAATTTGACAGAATAAGAAAAGAAGTAGATATTGCATTTAATCTGTTGGTACTAAAAACTGTTGTAATAGTATACGTTTAATTTGAGTATATTAATATTTACATAATTTTCCAATATTGTGGGGTCCAGTCCAGATGTCAAAGACAACATTTTGAAAACCTAGGATTTAAAACCTTATTAAAACCTGGACAAAAACAGAAAGATTTAATATGTTAAAATGTAAATAAATTTTAAAAAAAATATAATAATAATAATATACACATTTTAATTTTAACAAATATTAAATGATATATGAAATAATGAAGTATTCTAACTATTTCGTTGTATAATTCATCTAATGCATAGTAAATTAAGCCAAGCCAGTTAAAAAATATGTGGGGTCACTTACATGCACACACTCCTTTTTCGTACCTCGGCTTGTCAGCGCTGTAGTCACAGTAAAGTCCTTTATGATAGTCACAGGTATCTCTCTCATTACAGGTTTCCCCCACCTGCTTGGCACATGCCTTGCAGCAGTCACATCCATCTGTCAACAGGCTAACCCCATATGGGCAAACAGGGGCACTCTTGGGGCACTTACAGGGCCAATTGCAGTATCGATTTCGGTTATAAGGGTCCAAATCTGTGGTCACAAGAGGAGAGTCTGTGGAGTTGTGGGACCTGGCCTGTGTGGAAGAGAAGAGAGGAACATGAAGAAGATATGCCACCTTTAGCCACTTTGGGGCAACAGAGAGTTTGCTTTGAAATTTCATTGAAATTGGACCATTTTAATAGGCTCCCAAAACTTCACTGCAGAGAATGTATTGAATTAGTTTCTAACATGAACAATAAGATAGCACATAATCCCTTTTAAACAGAATTAGGCCTACTGTTTATCTATATAAAAAATTGCTCATCAGAGATCCAAAAAGAGAGAAATGCAACATTATTGTCATATAAATGTTCCTTTTTGTAAATCAAACACTGCCTGCAACAGTTTGGTTCTCAGTCTCATTTGTTCTCTCGCTCCAGTCAATAAGACTGTGTTTCTCTCAACAGTGGATGAAATGGAAACCCAAATTAGAACAGAAGGGAAGAAGAGAAGAGTAAATCTCTGACAAACCACTTCAAACGTAGCGAGGCGCTGTTCCAGACCGGTTGTCAGTCTGTGAATTGCTTCAGTCTGTGACAAGCAACCCTTGGAGAAGAAATAGCCTATAAGGCCAATTTTTGTGTGAGACGTACGGTGTTGGCCATCAAAGGAGTGTCTATTTATTTACACTAAGTGCAAAACTGCAAATAGCCTGCAGTGTTGGCCATTTACACTAACTCCGCCCACTGACATCTGGTTGGGCCAGACAAAATTAAGGAAGATGCAGATTTGTCAACGGTTGTAATAGGGTAAGGCATGTTGCAGAAATTTGACGCAAATAGAGTTCGAATCTGCCTTTTGCCAAACTCGCTCTACTCCCTTTTCCCATCTCATATCAGATCAGAAATGCATTTATTTTCAATAAAAAATTAGAAAAAATTCTAAAAGTGGAAATAAAGTGTCTATTGTGTTGTGTGTTTAATAATAAAGTGTTTATCAGTTAGGGTTAGGGATAGGTGTAGGGAGGGCTTATTGTCCCAATAAGGCAAGTGGTACTCACTGCAGAGTCAAATGACGTCCAGCTCCAACTCTCTGGACATCTAATGGGGTGGAAGGATAGAGTTGTTGGATATTTTAGCTCCACCCATTAGGGCCAAATTACATTTTACATTACAAATTATATTGCATTTTGTCTAGCAAGGAGGAGCTAGACATAAGCTCCACCCATTTGCTCTGCAGTGAGCAGCCTCTCCAATAAGGCGGCATCTATTGAATTATTTTAATAGTATAATAATATTAATATATAATAATATAATAGTAATAATTCAATATTTTAAAATAATAATTTTCAATCTGTTATTATTGCATACTTAATGTACAACACTGAAAAGCTAATAATAGTATCTGCCACTATTTATATAAATAGCATCTATTTACCAGTTACACTTATTGCAAAGATAATACTGGTATTTTTACATAGTGTAAATAGAATCTTTAGCTACTTGCACTTAGTGTAATTATAGATCTTTTTTTTACTTCGTGCAAATAGCCGCTGCCATACATCAATACCTTATTATAGCCTGACTGTTGCATAAGCAATTTCAAAATCTCAATCAAAATGTTGTAGGCTGCTACTAAATATCGAGGATGCACATGCGCGTTAAATTATTACAGCACATTTAGTGCAAAGACGTCAACAAATGTGGTCAAATAAAAAAAACTATTGTCATCATGATGACCAATCAAACTGTCATTTTCAGTTTTGGAAAAAAAAATATTATTTAGGTTTTTATTTACATTCGAGGGTTGGAATGAATGTGCAAGTATGGAAATTTGTATGACAAATCGCGCTTTCCGAGAACCAGCTACGGTGGCTCGCGTTTTGATTAAGGAACTACTTTACTGAGGTAAAAGCTAAAAGGCAGTTCATATTCTTGCTTTCTTTAATTGTTAAAGAAACGCCTTTAATGGCGCGAATTTTTATATTAAACTGCGTTAAATCAACAGAATTGATAAGACTCCTACCTGGTGCACGCTGGCTGTCAAAAGCATCCACAACAGGAGTCTCCACATTACTATATTCCTGAGAGAAATACATTGAAACAAGAAATGTTGTTTTCTACAGGTACAATCCACAAGCGTTCCCTCGTGGCATCCACAGTGACCGCGCAGATGACGGTCAGAGTTACTGGAGTCTCACTTTACGTCAGTCTGTCAGATTTAGTGGGAGTTTTCGGGAAGTTTTCCTTCAGTTCACTCCAGTTCAATCGTCAAGGGGGGTTGGAATCAAAATAAAACATCTAAATTATTTAGAAAGTGAACTTTTCCAAAAGTTATAACGTATTATAAAATTACTAACAGAAGACAAATGTTTAGATTTCTCGCATCGTAATAATGTCTCTGCTGGCAATAATTATGGCATGACATGAGCAGGCCATTCATTCTGAAACCTCACTTACTCTTCAGAAGATATAACCCATAGGAACACACGAACGAAACAACTTAAATTCATAGTGTGTGCGCAATGATTTGAGTAATCTGTTTTTGACTTGTCAAAGAATCCGATGAAGGACATTTAGTATTATAGCCTAGTGTTATAGTCAGGATATTGCTTTTTATAAGCAGAGGCGTTAATGATGTAAATAGGAGAGGAAGATATTATAATCCATATGATAACCATAGTTAATTCATTACTCATATTTCCCTAACTGCTTGACATTTGGAGAGAAATAATTCCAGAGAGCAGCGATAATTCAAGATAAGAGCATTTGGACCAGGACAGAGAACTGTGTCCCCAAAAATAATGTCCTCCTGCACTGCCAGAAGGTGAGAATGTAGGTGTAAGAAACCAGATATTGGTATTACTCATTTTAAAATGTACTTAAATTGTATTAACAAAACATGCACTGTAAAAATGTTTAGTACAGAAATTGGTTAACTGTAATTGGTCAATTGTAACTTTATACAGTGAACATTTTTATATAGTTTAACATCCCATTATTACCATGTAATTTATGGGGAAGATTTATGGTGATTTTGTTTAAGTAGGCCGGCCTATTAACATTATATGACGAAAAAAGATATACTTCCTGTACTGTATGTCTTTCTGTAATACCTGAAACATTGTCACTGTCTAATGGTGAATTTCTGACAACCACATTTAACAAGAATTTTCTTTACAGTGATTGAATCTACTGTAATGTATTGAACAATAATAATAAAAAAAATCTAGATCTAAAATCTAAGAAATAGTTTGGCTTTTTTTCTTTTAGTCATATTTCATGAAATATTAAAAAGTAAGGAACTGTAATTCATTCAAAGAAATTAATGTTGATTTAAGTGCATTGTTTGCTGGGAAAATGTATAGCTCAATTTTAAAACTCACTTACGGTTAAGATTGAGCTAAACAATGCAAAACAAATTTGTACATACTTGAAATATTTTTGGAAGGCGAGTACAAAGTATTTTGCAAGGTTTGTGTGATGTGCTCATATTTTGCCAAAACCTTGAAGTATACACTACTGCTGAGGTTTCCACAGTTTACAAATTAAAAAGCGACTGCTGGGCATCCTGCACTGATGCACTAAACAGAAGAACAGTAAAAATTCTAAACTAATCTCCTACACCACAGACTAAAAAAAAAAAACACTTAACTTTAATATTTCAGCCCTTAATGTGCAACTTTGTTTCATAGTTCATGTGGAAAATGTACAAAATATACCACATTCTGAGAAAATGCCCTAAACCTTGACTTCATTCATATGGGTGTACTGAACGTAATCAAAAGTGTCCAGACAGCCAGAGCAGAATAGTCTAGACAAAGAGGAAAGGCTTCTTATAATCTCCAGGAATAAAGTGATAATTAGTATCTCAGAATAGCCCTCAGTCAGTGGCACACAAGCCTGTGGCAGCATCTGGAAACTTGCAGAAAGTGAAACAGTCAGGATTACTCATATATTCTCCTGGCACTTTGGTCAGTCCTTATTCCATGTGACTAAATGATGTCTTCATTTTATTGTTAAATCACCTCAATTATTAATGAAGATAATCTAATGCTCTATATTTATATATCATTTTCACACACACACACAAAACAATTACCCACTCCGGATTGAATCGATATATCTCTATATTTGGTATGGTGTTTATAATATATCTGTTGCATGATATATGTTTTATAATGCTGGTGTGGTCAAAGAAAAATTTCAGCCTTGGTTGACAAAGTTGTATTGTATTGTGTTGTGTTGTAAAATTTGAACATTGAAGATTAAACCATAAGTGTTTTCAATGCAGTTTATTGCTTAAGTTCTACTATGAATGTTCATTGATTCATAATCACAATGATTTACATCAATAAAAATACCAAAATGACAGAGTGCTAAGCCTGAACTGGTTCTGGATTAAGCGATTACAACTAAATCTAAATTGTGAGACTAACTGTAAGCATCTTTCTCAGATTTAGGTTTGCTTGGAGTCAGAAAGAAGCTGGTATCTGGGAGTGACTTGGGCTCTTGGGTTGGAGTTTGAATTCCTCCAGTATCTCCCACTGAAGTCCCACAGGATAATTTGGCTGTGAAGTCAAAGTCAGATTTACAAGTAACCAAGTGCACAAAATCAGCATTTAAGACTGGTCAAAAAACCCCACTGCAATCTTCCAATCTCTACATTTAAAGACCACCAGGAGTTTATATGGATGTGTAGAGCAGTACTAACCGGTAGAGGAGATCAGAGCCAGCACATATTGGGACCAGAAGGAACACTGCGGGCTCTGGAGGTTCTTGCGGTTACTGAGCGTAAAGGACAGCTCTTTATAGCCACGTCCACCCAGCTGAGGGATGAACTGAGGCCATGGGGGCAAGAGCTTACTGAAGGACGTTCTAGATGTTGCAATAGGCAGGTTGGGGTTTCTGTGAAGAGCAGAGGAGAGATGAACAGGCCAGTGCAAAATCATTACAGTCGGCATGAAATGAAAATGTACCCTTTTTTCTAAATGCATGCTATTGATCTTATTGTGAACCACTCATTCATGCAGGTTTAATTTGATCAGATCTGCCTCCATCCAATCAACAACCGATGTTTTTCGATAATCCGTTTCACTCAGATCTGAAGAAAAGATCTGTCACTACGCTACTATTGTTAGATCGCAACTTTAAAAATATATAAAAATGGTTGATGATAAATACCCAGACTTTATGAAGTTTGTCATGTAGTTCATGACTTGCAGGGTAAGCATTCTCTCTTTTGAGCTGAAGAGGTCTTGTTTTTCTGAGGCAAGAGGTACTCCAAAGAGGAACTGCACATCCGTTGGAGGTGACAGATCAACACTGTGACAAAAATATATTTAGACAGGGTTCATACAAGGTGCTTAAAGTTTTTGAAATGTAAGTCTTGGAAAACCCTTAAAAAATATTTCTGAAAAGGTACTTGACAAGTGCTTGAATTACTGGAAGACAATAGGCTATATTAGAAAATAGAGTTTATTTTATTGACAAAACTATCTTTTCTCACCTGTCTAAAATTGATATAGAGCCATTTCAAATGGCTATGAGCGTGATATTGCACATATATTTATTCAAGTACACTCACCTAAAGGATTATTAGGAACACCATACTAATACTGTGTTTGACCCCATTTCGCCTTCAGAACTGCCTTAATTCCTACGTGGCATTGATTCAACAAGGTGCTGAAAGCATTCTTTAGAAATGTTGGCCCATATTGATAGGATAGCATCTTGCAGTTGATGAAGATTTGTGGGATGCACATCCAGGGCACGAAACTCCCTTTCCACCAAATCCCAAATATGCTCTATTGGGTTGAGATCTGGTGACTGTGGGGGCCATTTTAGTACAATGAACTAATTGTCATGTTCAAAAAACCAATTTGAAATGATTCGAGCTTTGTGACATGGTGCATTATCCTGCTGGAAGTAGCCATCAGAGGATGGGTACATGGTGGCCATAAAGGGATGGACATGGTCAGAAACAATGTTCAGGTAGGCCATGGGATTTAAACGATGCCCAATTGGCACTAAGGGGCCTAAAGTGTGCCAAGAAAACATCCCCCACACCATTACACCACCACTACCAGCCTGCACAGTGGTAACAAGGCATGATGGATCCATGTTCTCATTCTGTTTACGCCAAATTCTGACTCTATCATCTGAATGTCTCAACAGAAATCGAGACTCATCAGACCAGGCAACATTTTTCCAGTCTTCAACTGTTCAATTTTGGTGAGCTCTTGCAAACTGTAGCCTCTTTTTCCTATTTGTAGTGGAGATGAGTGGTACCCGGTGGGGTCTTCTGCTGTTGTAGCCCATCCGCCTCAAGGTTGTGCGTGTTGTGGCTTCATAAATGCTTTGCTGCATACCTTGGTTGTAACGAGTGGTTATTTCAGTCAAAGTTGCTCTTCTATCAGCTTGAATCAGTCGGCCCATTCTCCTCTGACCTCTAGCATCAACAAGGCATTTTCGGCCACAGGACTGCCGCATACTGGATGTTTTTCCCTTTTCACACCATTCTTTGTAAACCCTAGAAATGGTTGTGCGTGAAAATCCCAGTAACTGAGCAGATTGTGAAATACTCAGACCGGCCCGTCTGGCACCAACAACCATGCCACGCTCAAAATTGCTTAAATCACCTTTCTTTCCCATTCTGACATTCAGTTTGGAGTTCAGGAGATTGTCTTGACCAGGACCACACCCCTAAATGCATTGAAGCAACAGCCATGTGATTGGTTGATTAGATAATTGCATTAATGAGAAATTGAACAGGTGGTCCTAATAATCCTTTAGGTGCGTGTATATGATACAGCTTTCATTCTTCAGGTCAATCATATATTCAAGGGAGAAAAAATCAGTTTGAAAAAGGAAAGCGATATCTTTGTCATAGTATCCTTTTAATGGTTAACGTTACCACAGCCATTGCATGTGCTGCACTTTATTTGTACCATTTTTATGTTTTGTTTTATTATTATTTATCTATTTAAGAATTTGAAAGATAATAAAGATATGGTTTGATAAGTGAGATATCTCATTTTAGTCCTTGAAAGTCCTGGAATTTCATTTTACAGTATCTGTACAAACCCTGTTTAGAATACATAGAGATTATTCTTGGATCTGATAGATATTATTTTGAATGGAACCAAGTAATGTGCAATGAAGTACCGTAAGTATGATACTATGTGTGTGGAATGAGAGGCACCTGTTGTAGGCAGTGTCCTCAGGTAGGTGGTACATGTGAACACTGGACCGTGTGTTTGCTGACCAGAATTCAGCCATGTCCACAGCTGGACAGATGATAAAGAGGTCTCTGTAGAAATAAAGGGCCATGATATGGATGACATGCATAGCAAGGGACAAGCGGCTACATATTCATCTTAGGATTTTGATAACACAGGAGCCACTTTTTTACCACTTTTACACATCGGGCAGTATCGCAACAACAGGAAATTATAGTGAAAAGAGGATCAGGAAATGAAACTGGACTTAACTTGGTTTTATCAGGTTCTATATGTTCTGTTTAAGTTGTAAAAAGTCCTTTCCTGTTTGTGTTGCTATGCTGCGGTGCCTTTGCGTGCTGCAGGTCAGAGGGGTGTGTCGGTCAGGTTTGGTCTGTACTATATTTGACACTAGTGATTATGTGGGCAGCCAGCTTATCCTCTTTCTGAACTACTGACAATTCAGAGAAAGGACCAGGAATTTCAGGACATAGAAGTGGAAAGGAAATGTGAAATTTCCCTTCAGAGATTAGCTAATCTTTTTTTATTTTAACTTTATTCTAGCAGACATTTGATTTTACTCAACATAAAATATTTTGGCTATGATTCCAACAGTGAACAATGCAGTGTTTGGAGATATCTGGTAATCACAAACAACAATGAATCAAAAGAAAAAGAAAGAGCTTTTGGTTAAATGGACTATTGTCTGCTGAATTTTCCAGACACACTTGAGTAAATTCTCTCCTCTTCAGAATAATATAATAATGTTTGACAGAAACTGAGCTCAAGATGGTTGTATCTGCCATGTATCATTTAGAGCTGGGTCATTTCTGCCATAACCTATATTAAGGTAGATAAACACATTTCTGTCAGGACCACTATCGTCAAAGATGAGTGACAATTAGCATACAGTTTGGGTTGGCGGTATGGTTCTGTTCTGGCAAGAACTCCCTGCCCATATTCCTAAAGGTAGACATGGATCAGCTGAGAGTCAGCTGATGCGAGCTTGACTAACTTGACCTGCCAGAACTAATGCTACGCTTGATTACTTGAGGTCATCAAATTGTCAGTAAAACATCATTAAAAGTGCCATAGACTATTTTTACAGTATTGTTTTTTGGTATATATGCATAGTCTTCCTGATCTAAAATTAGCTGTCTCCATCCAGTATATGTCTCCATGTTATTTGAAGTGCTATGAAATTGTTTTAAGATCAGTGATGAGTGAAAGCTTCTGTTAGGACTGTTTTAAACTCAAGTATTTTTCAGTCAGAAACCCAGATAAACCATTTCCTTCCTCTTTGCCACAAACACTACAGCCTACCCACCCACAGTGAATGTAAGACACGCACGGGTTAAGCACAGAGTCCAACCCTAAGGCTCAAAATTATTTTGGCTCTGGATTCCTGTGCATTCCAGACCACTTAACATTTTTTTTTTTTTTTCAAGGATCTGAACAAACATACGTTCACAGCTGTGAACACATTGAGATTTGCTATTGTTCACTTTGGCATCTAACTAAAAAGTTTGCAACTAGCATTCAAAGTTTTACAAACAAAAAGCTGATCATGGGCTTTTAAATTAAATTAAAACTCTTTTTTATTGGTATGATTTTTTAATGATTGTTTCTTATGCTCACAAAGGCTGCATTTCTTTGGCCAGTGAAGACAGTTACAATTTAGAATAACTGTTTTCTAATTTAATATATTTTAAAATGTCATTTATACCGGTGATGGCAAAGCTGAATTTTCAGCATCATTACTCCAGTCTTCAGTGTCACATGATCCTTCAGAAATCATTCTAATATGTTGGTTTGCTGCTCCAGAAACATTTCTTAACATTATAACAGTTGAAAACATTGTAATTTTGAATATTAATACACACATATATATACAGTATATATATATATATATAAACATTTCAGGATTATTTGATGAATAGAAAGTTCAAAAGAACAGCATTTATTTGAAATGGAAATCTTTTGTAATATTATACATGTTTTTAATGTCACTTTTGATAAGTTTAATGTGTCCTCACTGAAAAGTATTACCGGTAATAAAAAAAAATAAATAAAAAATCTTAATGACCATAAACTTTTGAATGGTAGTGTAACTTTGGTACCTGGGGGGCACATGCTTTCTCTCCAACATTTTTATATTGACAAGAAAATATACTTCTGTTCTGTAAGACCTTTGACCTCTTACCTCGTAGCGTTTTCCAGAGCGCGAGAGAACACATTGTACCCTGAGGGTGTGGGGGAGTGCTGCAAAGAGTAGAACCAGGTCGCTGCCTCCTTCACGAAAGCATTAGCGTCATCTCCACCCAGAGAGTTAGACAGGGCCGCGTAAAATGCTGTCTTACTGTCAGCCCTTCCCTGAAGCTGCTCAAAATTCTTCTCAAATGAATGAAACAGAAAAGTGTCAATAAGAAAATGTCACAGTATTCTATTAATGAAACCCTACTAATGAATATTTTGAATAACGCTTGATTTCTCACACTGGTGTTTTCCTTTCATTCTGATATATCTGTGTCCTGACCTTGATGTTCTTGGCTCTGCTGATAAGGCCGTCTTCAACTGATGAGCCCAGAAGTAAATCAACTCTGTGGAAGTGTCCGGAACGAAGGACCACAGAAGGCTTTTCCCGAACTACAGTTCCATCAACCACTGGTGACCAGGCCTGCAGGGGACCACTCACAGCCAACAACTACACACAAACACACCAAGAGAATGTTAAACAAAAATAATGTGTGCTTTTTCTTCACAAAGGTGACCCATTGTACCTTGGTCTGGGCAGCATTAATGCTCTGAGCCGGTTTGCTCCTCAAACATGTCAGTATCTGTGTAGTATCAGCTGCCGAGCAGCCAAGTTCTCTAGCAAGAGATGCAGTTTGCGCCTGGGCTTTAGATGTACTCATTACAACAGCAGGAGAAAACACAGATCCACCCTGCAAGCAAACAACAGCATTGTTTAGCATTGTGTGAGACCACTAAAAAGGTATCTGGATCTTTAGTCAATAACCGTGATGAATTATTTTCATCTAGACTTCATTTATTATGGGGTTTTGTTATAATACTCGGTTTGAGAACTGAGAAAGAATTAGGCCACATCAACGCACATTTTATATTAATGCATTATGGTTTTCAAAACAAAATCATGATGAGTAGTTTCTTTGCATACCGCAGCTATTTATACACACGTTTACCCGAAGCTGCAGACATAGTACATATTTTAATGGATTTGCATGCGATTATAAAGCATTTCATTTCAGCACTTCCTATTTTTGCTTATATGTAGAGTGGAAAGTGTGGTGAGAAACAGTTTCCCCGTTTACTTGAGCCATGCCCTTAAAGTCTTATCAGTGGGAAGTTGCACAACAGAACAACAGCAGAATCTAATGACACTCTTTGCTCAGAACAGGACATTGTCTCAGTTGGGACAGACATCTGATGGCTGATCAGATGTGATAAATCCGTAGGAATAGCAGTGGGAGACTGACGATGGGAAGCGCTCAGGCAAGCCAAAGAACCCCAGAGGATTTCAGACAAACTAATACTAATGAAGACTTTCCACCGAGAGGTACGAAAATGCTGAGCACTGTTTGAGTGACAATGTATGAGTGGTTTCAAGTGACGTTTCTAGTTATTGTAGGCAGATGCCACATCGTTTCGATCATTTACAGATGTTGTGGTGTGTGAAGAGACTGTATTAAAAGAAACTGTATTAAAACATACAGATATCGGTTCTCTTTCTGAGCAGAATGTGCAGCGTAAGTTGTGGTCTGTCATTAAACTGAAGTAATATTCAAAAGACTAAACTGAACTTCTCTTTTCAACACAGATGTGTATGACCTAAAAAAATATAAAGTATCTAAGATTAGACACAAATGTGCAGAATTATCTGGTAACATACCCATGACCGAACTGGTGATAAAAACAGACGTTTGTTTTTCTGTTTAGTCAGTCAGTCTTGACTTAATAAATGATCAAGTTAAAAAGTTAGCTTAAAGGCTAATGGAGCCCATTAGCTACTTGATGTTTCCTTGACATAAGAAAACATCAAATATCATACATAAACATTACTAAAATCCTTTTTTCCAAGATACAGATGCTGTATTTTCTATTTTACAGTGCATGAGAATGACACAGCAGTAGTGTTGGATAACTACCCTCCTCCTGATATCTGCGAGCCCATATTTCGAATGGGAGAGTGGCTGAAAATAGTGTCTGAGTAAGTGTCTTAGCATTTCATGTTTCTACAAGAGCTTTAGCGTGTATGCTTACAATAAAAACTGTCTTTTTACAAGATTATTATTACACAAGCAAGGACATACACGGCCATTCAAAAGTTTGGGTTTGGGAAGATTTTTTACAAAATTTGAAAGAAGTCTCCCATGCTGACCAAGGCTGCATTTATTACATTAAAAATACAGTAAAATCAGTAATATTATGAAATATTATTACAATTTAAAATAGCTGTTTTCTATGTAATTTATACCTGGGATGACATAAACCTATGCTGATTTGGTGATCAAGAAACATTTCTTATTATCATCAATGTTGAAAGCAGTTCTTACAAACAGATTCTTTTGAGGATTATAAAGTTTAAAAGAACAGCATTTATTTGAAATGGAGTCACTTTATTGTCAGCTTTATTGGTGTTTACTGGCACCAAACCTTTTAATAGTAGTGTTTAGGAATATTTTCTAGAGACAATGTGTGTAAACTTTTAGGTTTAGGAGTGTTTGTATTCAACTATATTTATAGCAATGTTTGACAGTTGCTGGGCTCAATGTGTGAATGCACAACTGACCACAAAACCCTGTGTTAGCATTAACACTACCTTCCGCTGTTTATCACACACACAAAACTTGTTTTTCACTGAACAGAAATAGTTTTTTTTTTTGGGGATAATTATAAACTTAAAAATGACCCAAGAAGCAAACTGTCCACCAAACTTTCTTTCAGGGAAGGGTATTGGTGGAAGGTCTACTCAGTCAAAACGAAGGAAGTGAACTACATACCGCACTGTCATGCCACAAAAGTCTACCATGGGTAGGTTCTGAATTGCAAACTATACAAGCTTATTGTCAGTTAGCCTACGCTAACTGTTTAAGTGCTAATGGAAACATTCTCGATTGTCTCAGCTGGCTGTTTGAAAGTGTGACCAGACCAAAAGCTGAGGAACTGCTTCGACTCCCAGGGAACCGAGTGGGGTCGTTCATGATTAGAGAGAGCACAAAAGGTCAGAATACAACTTTAAAACGAACATTAAACTCTAGTCTAGTCTCACAAAGCCAGACAGCATAAGGTCCGGTCCATATTGAAGCTTATTTTTGACAAGAACTGCCCACTAAACAGGAAGAAACTGTCTGACAGAAAGAGTTTTATAAATAGATCAATCCAAATTATATACTAATTAATGTTTTTGGCGTATATGTTTGATCATATTGCTTGTATTTTTGTAGGTATGTACAGCTTATCTGTACGCCACAGAACTATTAAGCATTATCGGATAGTTCGAATGCCAAACAACTGGTACTTCATCTCTCCACGCCTCACATTTCAGTGTCTGGAAGATCTGGTCAACCACTACTCTGGTAAATCATGTAATACATAAAAAAATTAAAAAAAGTAATTTGTGCTGTTTTAGTGTAAAAGATGATCATCTGTTTGATGCAGATTTTCCCCTCTTGCTCTTGTTTAGATATAGCAGACGGCCTGTGCTGTGTTCTTACCGGCCCGTGCTTGGCCGTCTGTGAAACACACCTGAGTGAGCGCATGAAATCGACTGGGAGAAAATTATCCTTTGACTGGAGAGCAGTGAACAGGTAAGAAAATCAGTAAAAGCCGCTTAAATGTTGTTTCTTAAAGGGAAGTTCAAAACTGAGATTCACCTGATCAGTGTTTGAACTTTCATATAAACATGGAAGAATTTAAAATACTGTAAATCTTTTCAGACAAAATCTATAATAGTGATGCACTTTCTCTCAGCTCCGAGCTCATCCCACAGAGTACAAGCCCTTCGGCGGTCAGCTATGGGGTCCAGAACAGTGTCTCTTCCTACCTGTCTTTACTGGGAGAGCAGGAAAAGCCAGAGAGAAAGAAATTTAGTTTGAAGAAGAAGAGGTGGAGGTCTATCTACACACTGCCGAACCACCAGCTTGAAAATTTGGCCACTGTGGAGGACAACTATGAGGAGGTGCATTGATAGATCACAGCTAATTCATTTGAGGAGCTCAAAAGCTGATATTTAAAGGCACTGTTGTTTGTGAATCCTAAAGGGACTGAATTTTTTGTCAGAGAAACATTTGGAATACTTCAAATATTTTCTTAAACACATTTTTTATTCAAGTTTAGGCTTACAAATGAGTGTTTTAAGATGCTTGTATAACCATGATTCATTATTTTTGGACTAGAGTAGATAGATTTTACTGTAAATGTGACCTCAGACATTAGTTTTCTTACACAAAACAGTGGTGTTATATAACCGGCAGTGGGAACTCAGAGTTCTGTTCTTACCATTAGTAAAGCTCGGTGGAAGGGTGATGAAGCTGATGGCGAGGTGAGATGAAGGCTAGCAATGTCAGCTCCGTTTCTCTCTGCCCCTATTGTGACTTTATTGGGGTCTCCTCCAAACAAAGCAATGTTTTTCTGAACCCAACCCAGAGCTGCTGCCTGGTCTTGCAACCCATAATTCCCCGGCAGAGCACTGGAACCTATACAGAGTGAACAGACTTTAATTCATGAGGCACATTTTGTATCTCCAAATGTATTTTCCACACTATCACTCCAGAAGATTTGCAGTAGATTACTGAGAAATTACCTTCGCACTATAATCAGCATGTGAGAGTCCATTCATTATAGAGACAACAAAAATAATAATAATAATTTTTTTAATGTTTACTCAAATCTTCAAAGCTCCACAAGGGTTAAGCTGGGAAACTCAAGGAAGCCAATCAGGCTTCTGCACAGCTTTCACTGTGTGTTGTTTTTGGCTGGACAGTGAAAGCTCATCCTGGCAGACTACTCAAAGGCACCAGTTAGGCCCCCTTTTCAAACTTACTCATCCAACGGTGGCAAAGGGGAAAAGAATCTGAATATTTTCACAACCACTGTGTGGAATGGAACTTCTCACATGGACCTTACGTAACTATATTCCATAACCATATTCCATTGCATTTTTTGGAATTCCATTATATGGAAGAAATTATCCCATTTGTGCAATACGTCATTCTGTTCTAACAGAGCTTCCAGGGCACGGTTTAATTCCAGTGTAGGATTATACATTAAACTGTCTCAATAACACTGAGATTCTTTCCTTAAAACATTTTTAGGACTTTTCAGCATAAAGTGCCAAGGAAGCCTTTCTATGTTTTGTTGCATAAAAAAAAAAAAAAAAGCAAATAAAACTATTTTTGTTGTCAGTGAGGTTTTTTGTTTTTTGACAGAAATTTATACAAGGATGCATTAAATTGATCAAAAGTGACAGGACTTTTACATTGTTACAAGATAATTCTATTTCAAATAAATACTGTTCTCTTGAACTTTCTATTAATCAAAGAATCCTGAAAAACTGCATCACGGTTTCCACAAAATTAGTTTTCAGCATTGATAATATTAAGAAATGTTTCTTGGGCACCAAGTCAGCATATTAGAATGATTTCTGAAGGATCAATGACACTGAGGACTGGAGTAATGAAGGTTAAAAATTTAGCTTTGCTGTCACAGGCAAAAATGACATTTTAAAATATATACAAATAGTACAATTTGTGGGGCTGGCTAAAGTCTTGGAATATTTTCAAGATGCAAATATGAACACATTTGTGTATAATATGCGTGTTCGTACCTGCACTGAGGAATCCGAAAGCGGCCACTCTGAAACTGGCTGTCACTACAATTATGTTGCCAACAGCAGCGAGGTAAGAACCATCTAAGAGACCCGATCCAGAGTTGTGGAAAAACACCAGAACCGGTGCATTCTTTCTCTGTGACAAAACAGAACATTTTGTACAATTAATTACCAATATATTAGTATCCACACCACAGTCAGCGGATGGCGTGGTTTATTAAAACAGTATTAACAGACGTAAAAGTTCATGACACACAGTGAGGTCAGTTACACTTTATTTTGATGGTACCCTTTAGACATTCTGTTGACTATAAGTAATGATGTGCATCATTAGTAATGATGCAGTTGTTGACAAATAAATGTCAACAACTCTCATTAGAGTATTAGTTGATTATTAATAGACTGTTAGGAATAGGGTTACACACGGATTTGACAAAACCTGAAAAAAGTGCCTGTTGTCGTCTGTCAGTGCGGTGTAAAAAAAATGCATAATGCATACATGACTTCTTTTAAAACCATTTTAAAAAAGGTACTGGCCTCAAACTTTTGATTAGTGATTGATTACGTTTATGTACTTATGCATGTTTGAGATCTTGAGCATGTCATGGGGGTCTTACCACACTAATAGAAACAAACACATTGAGATAAAGACAGTCTTCACTGGAGGTGGAGTCAGCGGGGTCACCAGGCTGAAGACAACTGGATCTAAAACAGTTTTGATCAAACAAATCAGATCTCTTTCCAGAAAAGAGACTATTAATTCTGCAGAAAGGCAACCGGTCATTTTGAGGGTATAAATGTATGAGAACATACATTTATACTCTCACAATCTGCGATCAAAGTTGTCCACGCACCGGGAAAACGTGGCATTCCTGGTACCGGTCCAGTCAGCTGGCTGTGGAGGGCTGAAACGGAGCTCTCCGATTGGTGGACGAGCATAAGGAACACCCAGGAAGTAGGTCACACGCTTGCTATCTAAGCCAGTTATCAGTTTCACCTCACTCTCTCCGAGTAGCGTGCCGTGATCAAGGATGAAAACAGAAGTCAACTCTGGCTGTAAACCTATAAAGAAAATGTTTAAACATCTCTGTTGCTTGGATGAAAGAGATCAGAAACACTCTGAACTGATTGAGACTTGAGTGAATAGAAGGATGTTTTGTTTTAAGGTGTCACCTGTCCTGATATAAACAGATTGAGCAGGCTCTTTGGTAACTAGAAAGCAGCGCTGGCCGCTAGTTGTAGGAAGGCAGGTGTGTGTGTCTGGATACATCACACATCTCATGGCTGACTCTCTGCTATCGATAGACACGGCTGAACAGGACTCACTTTCCTCACATGCTACAAAGGACAAGAGAGTTATGAGCACACAAGTACATCCACATGCTTATGTATTGTAAATTACAAAAAAAGAAAACGGTAATACTTTAGTTTAGGGTCCAATTCTCACTATTAACTAGTTGCTTATTATTAGCATGCATACTACTAGGATATTGGCTGTTGATTAGTACTCATAAAGCACATATTAATGCCTTATTCTGCGTGACCATATTCTAAATCCCAATACCTAAACATAACAACTACTTTACTATTAATAAGCAGTAATTAGGAGATTACTGAGGCAAAAGTCGTAGTTAATATTTAGTTAGTTAATAGTGAGAAACCCTAATCTAAAGTGTGACCAAAAATACATATTAATCAATTATTATATAAATGTGATTATTATTCATAATTAAGTGAAAATAATAAATGAGCTATTGTGAGTTTTATTAATATTATTAAATTATAATATATTTAAACTACTGATCAAAAGTTTGGGGTTAAGTAAGTTTTTTTTTTAATAAAGAAATGAATACTTATATTTAGCAAGGATGCAATAAATAAGTCAAATATGAGAGTAAAAACATTGGTAAGGTTACAAGAGATTTCTATTTTAAATAAATGCTGTTTTTTTTTATTTATTTATGAAATAACCCTGAAAAAAGTATCATGATTTTTACAAAAAAATATTAAGCAGAGCAATTGATTTTTACATTGACAATAATAAGCAATTTCTTGAGCAAACATTCAGCATATTCAAATGATTTCTGACGGATCATGCGTTACTGATGATGACTGGAGTAATGATGCTGAAAATTCAGCTTTCCCAGCACAGGAATAAATTACATTTGAAAAAAATATTAAAATAGATCATATTTATTTTATATTATAATAATATTTCACAATGTTACTATTTTTGGTAAATGGTAAATGGACTGCATTTATATAGCGCTTTCACAGACCCAATGGCCACCAAAGCGCTTTACAATTTGCCTCACATTCACCCATTCACTCACTCATTCATACACCGACGGGCGACGGCAGCCATGCAAGGCGCCATCCAGCTCGTCGGGAGCAGCTGGGGTTAGGTGTCTTGCTCATGGACACCTCGACACTTGGTCAGGTGGAACCGAGGATTGAACCACCAACCTTCCGGTTTGTAGACAACCCACATGAACCACTGAGCCACTGCCGCCCCAGATTTTTGATCAAATAAATGCAACCTTGGTGAGTAAAAGCGATAAAACGTTTATTCAGATCAAAAGTAAACTTCTACACGTGTTCAACGTGTAATATGTGGCTCTATCACATTCAAATACGTAAAAATTCTGAGAAAAACAAAAAAAGGGATAGATAGAGAAAGACGTTACCAGAAAGACACCAGTCTCTGACTTTATCTAGGTCCTCAGCAATGTCTCTGCTTATGTGGACAATGTCAAAAGCAGAAACAGACGAATCCACCTGCACAGAGGCGCCATCCAACTGCTTCCAGTTCTTCAAATCAACTGAATTTTTTTTTTACAATATAAGACCCACAATGTTATTTGTGGAAATTAAACAAATGAATAATAAATTATATTCAATTAACAACAATTAATTATTCATTAACGAGTCTCTTACCATTCTTTATGGGTGAACGGAGACTAAATGGTGGACACACACTGGGATTCTTTGTCCATTGGTTCACTAGAGACATACAAAGCTGATGTTTAATATCTTTTCATCAAGTCATTCACTTCCTCAACCCGCATACTGGGAATTCTCAATTGATCGAAAATCAGAGTTTCTCAGTTTAAAAAGGCACTTGGATTTCAGACATACCTGGCTTTTCATACCAGCCGAAGGGATAGACTTCAGTCTGCACTTTGGATGGGGAGCAGTCCTGAATTCTCCAGTTAGTGCTGTCGTTCTCTCCACACGTCTGGATACCCAGACTATTTAGCGTTAGACACAACACATCTGATCCTGTACAAAGGAAAAACAGAGACTAACTGTGATTGGTTTCATTCCTCAGATTAGACATTTCACATATGTTTTAAGTAAAATAATTAATCTGAATGTAAAGGTTCTTTCGTACCAGGTACACCTGAATCTTGGACATATCCTATGCCACGACAGCATGGATCTTTATCACACCGCCTCTCACACTCAAAGAACCTGCTCAAGGAATTCCAACAGCATTATTCATGAGGGAAACAAATAAACTGCGATGGAAACACAAATTTGTTGGCTTTCCCCTCACCCTTCTGTTATAGATTTACGGGACACACTGAC